GGGGTCGCAGGCTTCACGGCAACAGGGGCAGCGTCCTGCTTCCCGCCAGCTGCAGGCGCTGCAGGTTGGACGCCTCCGGGTGCAGTGCCGGAAAATGTGCCATCTTGGAGACGAACGCCCTCGTAGCTCGAGTGGGTAATAAAGTAGACGATTGCGAGGCCCTGTGGAAGAGTAGTTAGCGATGGAGCTGGCCTCAAGGACACGCGCATCACGCTTTTCCTTGTCGTGTGATGGATTTGACAGACGCGTGGCAGCGGCTCTGTCAATCCGGGGAGCACTCACGAAAAAGGCAAAGAGGATGTATCGCACGTAGCGCGCTGAGCCTGCCACCATGATGACGGACTTCAACGCGAACGGATGGTAAGAAACGTGAATAGAAGAAAGTGGTCAATCTCGATAGGATTGTTGAAGGAGGGAAAGAACGAAAGGCGATGGGATGATACAGGTGGCCTCCCTAGAGATGTAGGGGAGACGGCGGAGAAAAGTGGTCGACCCAGTTAGGCTTTACGGGAGACGAGTCGAGGGACCGACCAGTGGACGAATACGAAAGTTCAGCCCGGCGATGGTACGTGCTAATTACGTAGGTACTTGAATTCAGGGGTAGGAAGGCCTTGTGCCGAGTACCTTTTTCTGTCTCTGACAACGCGCGCTCCTACCTGGATGCAGGAATGCGGAAGAGCATGATAGGGGGATGCTCAGGAGAGTGGGGGGGCAATCTAGGGGGCACGAACATGGCCAGCGGGTATTATTCCTTGCATCCCGACGGTATAGGCACGCCGGGGCTTTTTGGACGAGCTGACGTGGAACGCTGGACGACCATCGCCTATCTTATCAATGGCTGTTAAAGACGCTTGCGACAAACGACGACACTTCAAATTCAAAGGGAGTCTGACAGTGGCATTGGCGATTCAGTACAGAGTGAATCATAGTACCTGAGCGTCTCAGACGCCAGGTGTTCATAGGCTCTCAAATGAGCCATGCAAACCTGTAAAAAAAAAAAATCATCTCCAGCGGTCGCGAATATGTGCTGGCTCGGAATGACTAAATACCTGATTGGCAAGCACCTGTTGTATCTAGGTATCCCACGACTGGGGGAGTACAAAACCGTCCCTCAGCCTGCATCACGTGACTTTGGGAGCCGTGGGTGTTGGGCATGGTGTTTCCCGCTCTGTGATTGGTCCGGATGATCCTTGGAGAAGATCGGAGCTTAGGACCACACGTCTTTGTCGGCATCGAAGTGGTGCATCACCATGTTTTTGGCATCGACTGCACGCATCGACGTCGTTGAATCTACTTCCTTCCTTGAGCCGACTTTGGTGCTTCGGCGCATTCTCTTCGGGAGATCTCTCGCCATTCGTATTGCTTTGCGAATGCGATCACATTAGCTTGCAATAGCTCTGATCCCTGCCGAGATCCCTCGCGCCTACGATCTAGTCGACCTTGCGACATCATCATGATAGGGTTGAGAACCGTGCTGCCGAATACCACCGACCCCTCATTCTCTTAGTGGTGAGTACAAGCGCTTTTATAATCATCTGTATCTTGCCTTTCTTCTCGGCATATCTCCTACTCTATGGGCTCTTGCCCCCAGCTTGCTGTTATTTCCAACATTCAGGTTGCGAGCTGGTTTCGTAACACGCCTTTGGGGTTCCACGAGCTGTCGTTGGCGTGCTTCCTACCTTTCAATCTCTCGAGGCAAAAAAGCCCGTTTTTCTTTCCTTGAATACATCACAGGTGAAACTGCAGCTTCTGGCGAGGCTTGGCTACTGTACTGCTGCTTCTCTATCGTTTTGCAAGCTTTCAGACAGAGCCCACACTGACGTGTTCGGTCATAGTGCTACTTGACCCCTCTTCTCGAAAGACATCACACAGAAAGCCATCATGTCTTTCTTCGGTTTCGATGCGACGCGCCACAACAATGCGGCCCCGGGCTTTTCCCAGGCCCACGACCCCTTCGCCGGCTTGTCTCATCGCACCGGCGACAATGACGATGCTATGGACTTCGAAGATACCTACGACGGACTAGGTGACCAGCTTGACGAAAGTGGCGATGCCTTCAACGACGATACCTTTGGCGGGGGGCTCGAGGACAGCGGTCCCACCAACAGGGGGGGCGCGCCCTCCGTTGGCAAGGATTTTGACTTTTTTGGTCAGACTGCCAAGGTGTCTGATGCCATCGAGGAGGAACAAGTCCTTTTCAGTCGTCAAGGCCCTGCACCTCGAGCACCTCAGGCGCCTGCAGATTATCATTCGTCCGCCATTGCACCTGGTAACTACTACTCTAGCCAGCCCGGTCAATCTTACGGCACCCCTGTCCGTACCGGCTACGAGAAATATCGTGAAGCCGAGCCAATTCCTGATCTTCATGTCGATGCCTCGCTTTGGGGAATGCCCGCCAAGAAGTTCGCGCCCACGCCCTCGCCACAGCCAACTTACCAGCCTTCTCCTGTCCCAGCATCTGGACGGAAGGTCATGAGCCTGGAGGAGGTTGAGAAGGCGATGCGCGAGCAAACAACAGTGCCTGGGCAGCACGTTGGTAGTGAACATATTCACCACCCGCAGCACTATGTTGCCGATCACAGCGACTTCTACGGACATCCTGAACATGCTCAACACCAATATTCCTACTCTGCAGCTGAACAGCAGCGTGCTACCCAGTCTCCTGCCCACCCCAGCCATAGCCACCCTGTCACCATCCTCCAGCGCCCTCAGTCAAAGCAGCCTACCCCCAGCGCCCCGAGCCCGCAAACTCGGCAGCAACAGCAGCAGCCCCCGCCTGCCCATCCGACCCAGATTCTCCAGAACCCGAACCGACTTTCTGGTGACGCCGCCCGCATCGGTGTCCCCACTCATCCTACGCATCGGTCTCAGGGTTCCATGGGCCGCGGCCAACAGGCTCAGACCCAGGCGCAAGCCCAGGCCCAGCAGCAGCACTTGGCTCACTTGTCTGAAGAGGAGAAGGCAGCATTCCTCGACCAAGAGACTAAGCGAGCCAAACGTAACCACAAGATCTGGCTCCTGTCCAAGGATAATGGTCTCATGACGCCGCAGGACAAGAACTTCATCACTCGTATTCAGCTCCAGCAGCTTGTATCCGCAACTGGAAACCCCACGGATGTTGCGAACGAGGGTGCCCTTGCTGAGGATTTTTACTACCAGGTTCTCAGCCAGATCCGCGGTGGGCAACGTCAAAACCCCAACCAGCCCTTGAACAACTTTGCGCAAACCTATCTCTTCCAGACTGGCAGCCGCCAAGGTGCGATGCGTCGACAGGGTCGTGCCGCTGAGAACCATGTGCAGCGAATGGAGCAACAGGTGCAGCGGGCTGTTGAAGCAGCAAAGAACAAGCCCAAGAACCCTCAGTTGGTCATCGCTGGCAGCCTTGGCAAGATCTCCTTCAGCAACTCTAAGACGCCGAAGCCTCTCCTAAACATCAAGCGAACGGAGAGCTCGGGTGAGACTCAGAAGCCGAGCAACGCAAGGCGCGCCCTCGGCGGTGGCGCCCTCGACCGCAAGGCTATTCTCAGGAACGTTGAGCGTGTCTACAGCACGATTATGGAAATGGAGGACCATGCTCGTCAGGCTCCTCCTCCTCCCAACGATGGAAACGACGAGGATTTCCATGTTAAACACCAGGAATGGCTAGAGCAGGCCCAGGCTCTCAACGCCAAGCTCTGGAGTGAACTCAAGGTGCATGAGCCCATTCGAGAGGGGACCGTCCACCCGTTTATCGCGTTCCTGTCTTTCCCCAAGGGCGAGAAGGTTTTTTCCCGCGTCTTCCGTCACATTAGCTTCGAGCAGCGGACGACCATCCTTACCATGATCATCTTCCACCTGGACTCTCTGGACGTCGTCCACGGTGCGCAGCTCACCCACGGCGAGAAGAACCTCAGTGCCCAGAAGCGCGAGGATATTGAGCTCTTCTCTCTCGCCGTCATGCCCAGCCTGTTTGCATACTTCAACGACACTCAGATCGACATTGTTACAGACGTCCTCAGCATCATCACCTCCAAGCTGAATGTCGACAGCATCGCGAAGACTCGCGTTGGAACCTCAATGCTCACCCTTGTGCTGAGCCGCGCCGAATTGCTGAAGCAGGCTGGCGGAGGTAATCCTCAGGCATGGAACGAATGGTATGTCGAATCTGCACAGATCTTGTGACAATATGCTAACAACCTCTTGCAGGGATCAAGTGTTCGGCAGCTTCTTCAACGTCATTGAGCCGACTCTTCCTCACATGTTCCCCGGTAATGTCAATGCTGGCGAGGATGTCATAGTGTGGCAGCTTCTTGCGGCCATGGGCGTCAGCGCCAACCCCGAGCAGCAGCAGCGTCTGGTGCTTGCCGTGAAGGATCGAGTCCTCAGTACCGTTGAGCATGCAAAGACGCTTCCCGGTGCCATGGCCTCTCAACGTCTTGGGACCGTCAATCTGTTCATGCATTCGATTGGATTAGATGTTGATCTCTTGCAGTAAGGTTAAGCTTAGACCTTAAGCCTCCGGCTGCTCATTGCGGGAGTCCACCACGAGCCGGGCCGCAGCGTCTGGCCGCGTTGCCTTGCCAGACTCGCTTCGTCCAAACCCAGACCATGCAATCGGGTGCATCAGGTCTTTGGACGGCAGGTGCTGTTGACTTTGAATCAACAGTAGGAGGCTGGCATGAAGGCGGCATGCTGTGACAGGGAGTCATGTGTAGAACGGGAAAGGGGGTAGCTTTTGCGGCAGCACATCCCAAGGACGTTGTACATTACACGATCACCAGTCGCACCTTGCGTGTACGAGGGTAGCACAATGCTACCTCGCCGCTTATAGTTTTTTTTTAGTCGATAGTTCAGCAAATTTCGCAAATGCGCCTTGTTTCATTTCAGTGCCGGTCCCCACCCCCCGTAATTTGTCCCAACGCCGTCTGAAAATAACTTCCTGCTTTCAGGGGTATCATGGTGGCACAGCGAGCCCGAATCCGTCTACCGTCACAGGCCAAGATGTAGAAGCCACCCGACCATCAAGCACCACGAGTCGTAGCACCTCTGCCCCGTCCACGGCCACGTGCTACAGCACCACCCCTGGCACGGGGTCTGGCTCTGGCTGCCGCTTCGGCAGCCGCCTGTGCAGCCGCAGCCTCCTCGGCCGCCCGCTTTTGCTCTTCCTTGGAGATGGGCTTGGGCTTGACAATGCCACTGACAGCCTCCAGCAGGTCCTCGTCGTTCCAGTCGGTGCCGAGCTTGGAGGCGTTTTCCGCAATGCTCAAAGTCTCGACCGCCTTGCTCGCCTTTTCGTCTCCTTCTTTCCCCTCCCCCTCGTCCTCCTCTCCCGGGTCCGCCTTGTCCTTTCCCTTGTCACGCGATCCCTTCTCCGAGCCGCCGTCTTCGTCGAGGTCATCGTCGAGATCCTTTCCAGGGGCAGCAGCAGCGCCGTTCTTGGCGCCCCGGTCGCGGAGGTGAAGGCTTTCGTTGTAGACCTCCCAGGCAGCCTCGTCGTTTTCGTCCGTGTACTTGAGTTTCCGCCAGTGTTCCGCCTGCACGGACCGCAGCCGGTCGAGCATGGTGTCGCTTTGCGCCGCGCTGCCGTCGCCGCTCTGCTTGATGGTCATGTGAATCGCTTTGGCGGCCGCGGCGCCGCCGCCTGCGGTAGCGCCGTTCTCCTTGCTGGCGGCCGCCGAGGAGTTGCGCTCCTGGTACGTCACGGCGTCGATGTGGTGGAGCTGCGGGCGGAGATGCACGAGGTTGGAGACGGGCGTCAGGTGTACGTCCTCTAGATAAGGGCAGAAAACTCGTCAGTCACCGTCACTCGAACCAACGGCTAAGAAGAGAAGGGGGAGGGGGGGGCTGAAGAAGCCAGAACGCACCACCTTGGAAGACGCCAATCATGTACTGCACCTCCTTCGAGTCCGGGCACGTGCCGCCCATTGTTTGGGTGCGCAGCACCTTGTCCTGGCGGACGGCCTCGCTCCAGTCGAGGAAGAGATCGTCGTCTCGGTCGTCCTGGCGCTTCTTCTGCCGCGGGGGCGCCGCGCCGACGCCGAAACCGCCGGACAGGCCGTGGGTGCCGCCGTTCTTGCTGACGAGGGAGTTCTTGAGGTGGCGGCCCCAGTGCATGCCCTTGTCACGATCATAGCCGCGCTGGTAGTCGAGGGGGATGTCCACCTCGACCATGCCGGCCATGGACTTGAGGCGCATCTCGGTGGGAGGGGCCTGGTCGGGGTTCGTTGTGTTCGGCTGCTGGAGGACCCATAGCTTGCGACCCTGCGGCAGGGCGGGGTTGAGCAAAAGGTTGTACGAGGCGACGATGGGATCGTCATCGACCGAGGAGGCATCCATGGTTGGCGGTATCTGGTGTCAAGGTGCGTGCAGCTGGTGCTGGAGAATGAGCAAGACTGCTGTCGCTGGGAATTGAAAATAAGTCAAGCAAGCAGGTTAGGGGACGCCAGTTCGTTAGGTCGTGCCCCGCGACTTTTCTTATCGATAAATATCCGTTTTCAATGGTTTTGGTGTTGGACCTCAAGCACTTGGGTTGGGGACAAGCAACACCAGCGTACCTTGTTAATGGCAAAGGATCATGTTCTGTGTGATGACCGTTTTAAGGCATTCCGCAATGGCTTAAAGTGTTTTGTACCTGGGCACACATTTGGGTTAAAAGCTGTGATAGCATGGGCTGAAGAGCCGTTACTTTATTTACTGAGCCAGAAGGCAAGTCATTCTCAGGTTGCGACCTCATGTTCAGCATTAACCTTCTATTGCCGAACGCATACAGGGTATGAGTCGAATTACCATGGGGAGTATCGCTACTCCTGTCAGATACTCAAGCAGATCAACACGGCCTTGTCACAGGGCAAGGAAGTGTTCGTGGGCTGTAGCAGGTTCACTGGTTCGTTCAAAGCAATTTGTAGGTGCACTGGCCGAGCGAGATGGCTCAACCTCGTTCATTTACCAAAGACTTATAAGCTAGCTGATCGCCCATGTGTTGGCCCAGACAGGTCGTGGTTACATCACTTCCAGTCACATACATCCAGCGAATAGACACAACAAGCTTTCATTATCTGTCTGGCTACCTTAACGGTGCTTCACCCTTGCAAGGGCAACCTGATTATGCGTCGTAAATTATACTCGTACACTCGTGTCCCCGTTACCTCGCGCGCCAAAATCTTAGATAATATCGCCTCCATGACCTCCCCCGAACCCGCCTCCGTAGCCTCCGCCGCCAAACGGGTTGCCGCCCCGACCGCCTCCCGGCCGCGGCATGCCTCCGCTTGGCCCGACGGGATCCCACCTCGCACCAGGTGGTGCCTGTGGATCGAAACCTCCCTGACCACCCTGCCCACCGAAGAGCGGATCGTCAAACGTCGGGTGCATACCTCCACCACCACCAGGTCGCGGCAATCCTCCTCCGATGAATGACGGTCGCAAGGGATCATGTGGTCCCAACCCGGGCGGGTTCAGGTCATCGTGACCGATGTTAAATGGGGAGCGGCCAGGCATGCCCAAGGGATTCCCGCGAGGCGGTCTGTTGATCTCGTGCTCGTCCTCGAACCCCGGCGGCGGAAAGTCGCCAGCCGGCAGCGGCCGATGAGGGGGGTGCGCGCCCGCGAGGGGGTCGTGCAGTGGGTAGGGATGTCCTGGCTGTGGCGGCCTGTCACCGGCAAAGGGCCTCCCCGGTTCTCTGCCGGCCTGAGAACGACCCTCTTGTTCGGCGTTCTGTCTCACGTCACGGTCGTCGGGCGTCTCTTTGTAACCCTCGGCCTGTAGCTTTGGCACGAGCTTCTGGACGATGCTGGTCTTGAAGCGTTCAATAAGCTCATCGATCAGAGCCTCGGACTTGAAGGCGCTCTTCATCTTATCCGGAAGGTCCGACCTGTCCTCGGACCCATCTTCTCGCAATGTGATGCGGATGGGGAGCTTGGAGGACTCGATGTAGTCGCGCGGTGTCAGCTCGAAACGGTGGATGATGTCGTGGCCGACAGCCAGTCCGCGAATCTCGGCCTTGGCGCCCATGCGCGTGATGTTGATCAGATCAGTCATGGAGGTTTGCTTGTGGGCATAAACGAAGCTGAGGGAGCCAAAGCCGGCGTTCCATGACGATGGCAGGCGGGGTGCGTGTAATTGAATCTCCTCCTCTATCCTCTTCTCTTCGTCAAAGCCGAGCAGTCGAAACTTGAGGGCTGACATTGAGGCGTGTGTGAGGAGGGCAAGGAGCTCATACGAGCTGCTGACGTCTGAGGTGGTGTCTCCGGATGGATGAGTTGGGATGGCATCAGCCATCAGCTGCAGAACAGCCTGGGTGGCGAGAGGATTTGCCATGGTTGTTTTATTGGACGTGTTGTTTGATTTGTATGGGATGTATGTGGGAGGAGGAAAAGAAATGGGTGATGGGCGTTGGAAGATGGTCGTCTATGCCGGCTTTTAGTCAAGTCTCTAGGAGGAAGGATGGGAGGGAGCCCGGCCGCCTGGAGCAAGTAACCCAAGGCAGGAGCTCCCATGTCGGGCCTCTGCTGGCGTCACCACCCCGTCAGCCTTAAATGTGGAGTGTCGCCTACCCCTCATGTCCTTACACCGGGTGCTTGCCCCTCTATGTGCATACAACGCTCTCTGCCACATCAGCTTCGAATAACACCATGGTCCCTTCCAAAGGGATGGCAACGGAATGGCAAAGAATTGGTTGAAGAGAGCACCACGACGAGTCCAGTTTGTATTCATATCTATGATCACAAGCTGGTGAAAGACAAGGACCAAAAGCGATGCTGTTAAGAATCATGCGATTAAGCATCACTGACATCACGTGAACTGGCGTCCAAGTGGTGTACCACAGTCACGTCCCGCCCCAAACCATCAACGCGTTTGCCTCTCCTCTCACTGAACCCTGCTCCCATCGCAAATCAGCATCATCAAGCCGAGGCCACATTCCGCATCCCGAAGCCATGCTCACAGACAACGACAACATGCAGGCAGAGCCCTCGGACGACGACCTGCCTCAGCCCCAGCCCGGTCCAGACATCCCCCGCCCACAGGCCCGCTCCCTCCTGCAGACCTTCTCCAGCTTCCTGACCATGACGGTGCACACGCTCATCTTCCACCGGGCCCTCTACCCGCGGCCGACCTTCCTCATGGCGCGGCACAACAACCTCGTCGTGCCCCAATCCCGCCACCCGGCCGTGTGCGCCTGGATCAACGACGCCGTGGGCCAGGTGACGCCGCTGCTGGCCGTCGGCCGCCTGGCCAAGGTGACCATCAACTTCCACCTGCCGCGCACCCTACAGGTCGTCGACCGCTGGGTCATTGACGTGAGCCACTTCCCGGCCTGGATCGACGAGGACGACATGGCTGTGGTCGCGGGCGGCGGCCAGCACCAGCACCAGCAGCAGCAGCAGCAGCAGCAGCACGTCAGCAGCCGGGGCAGGGATCGCCTCATCGTCGCGTGGGAGCAGCAGGAGAAGAGGCGCACGCGCGCCCGCAGGGAGGACGAGTCGGAGAGGGAGCTCGCCGACCTCGAGCGGGCCGTCAACTGGGTCGACGTCGACGAGGCCGTGCGCGGCGCCCTCAGCAGGATCGGGAGCGCCGCCGCGGCAAAGGGCCCTCTGCCCGAGGACAGCACCTTCACCGTGGCCGTCGAGCTGCGCGAGGATGCCCCTGTGCCCATTGGCGTGAGTGGCTCCTCTTTGTATCCTCGCCCCAGGGAGCTCTTTCTTCGGCCTCCGGTCCGTGTGCTAACAGGTTGAAGCATCCCCAACACTGGATCCCCTCGGACCCGTCACTGCAGTATGGCGCCGATCCCCTGTCTGGTACCCCCCGAGATGAAGCTTCGACAGAGGGCCCACGCGGCACATCGACGATACCTCTGCGCACAGTCGACGCGGGCCCTCTCTTTTGGGAGTGCTGGGTTGAGGAGTGCCCGTCAGTACAGCCTACAACAACAGCAGCAGCAGCAGCAGCAGCACCATCACAAGAAGACAGCGCCCGTGAATCAAATTCGACATGACTTTGCAACTGTTACTCATTCATCCCTTCCCATTGGTATCGTTGGCCTTAATCCCTTCATGCAAGTGCAAAATACAAATGAGTCGTGACACGGGGCCACCCAGTTAACCTGCCCCGCCACCGCCCCCTTTTCCAAACCGTTGATGATGCAGAGGCAGTGATTGTCACACCCCGAACGCCCGCTCGCCTGGCCGCACCTCCCCTTTCAAACCGTGACCCTGCAGATGCCCAGCTGTTCGGGCCAGTCGCGAACGCCCCTCACCTCGCCCAGTAGGATGAAGACAAATTTCGACAAGCCATTCTAGGCGCCATCGGCCGCCGCTTCCCCCTTTAACGCCGTTCGCAGGCTGATGACCTCGCGTCGCAGACGCGCATTCTCCCGTTTCGTCTTGGCCGACTCCTCGCTCTGCTCCCGCAGCTTGCTGACCAGCTCCTCCTTGTCCTCGCGGCCCTTGCCGCGCAGCGCCTTGACAATCTTGCCGAGCTCGCTGTTGAACTTTTCATACAGCAGCTCGTTCTCTGCCGTGGCCTCCCGGTACAGCTGGTCGATGGCCTTGACCTTGGCCTCGGACGCCTTGAGCGTGCTCTCCATGTCACGCTGTATGGCCGCGTGCCTTTCGTTCAGCTCGCCCAGCATGGTCGGCACGCGTTCCTCGAGAGCGGTCACCGACTGCGTCAGGCGCCGCAGGTCGACGGTTCCCGTTCGGTCGCCCAGCCCATTGTTCACCCGCGACATTTCTTCGGCGATCTTGCTCAGCTCCGACTTCAAGGATGCGTCCACCTCGTCGACAGCCTGCTTCTCCGTCTGCAGCCGCTCGCGCAGCTTTTGTGGCGATTGCAAGCGAAGCCTACCCGAGCTTCCCGTCTTGGTCGGGCTGAGGCTCGGCCGCGTCGGCGACTCACCTCCGCTGCCCAGACCGCTGCGGGCCGGCTTGAGCGTTGGGATCTGGGATGTAGAAAAGTTCTTTGAGTGGTGGCCCCTCGTCGGTCGCTTTTCAGTGCCAGCTGTCGATGGCGACGGCTGGAATATGTCCGCCAGGCTGAGGTTCTCTTTCTGCGGACGAGGCACGCGCAGGCTCTGCGTGTTTGGGCTGACCGGGATCCTCGAGGGCGTGGGCGACTTGGCCCTCGGCGTCGAGTTGAACTTTTCGGATATTTGCTTGTTGATGCTGAGAGGCAGGATGCTCGTGTCTTCTGCCGGGTCGCCGAGACTCGCGGCAGCCATGAGGCTCCTGAGATCAGATAGAGAGCTGCGCCGCTTCTTCTTGGGCGTCTTGTGGGCTGCGGCCTCGTGGTCTGGCTCACCGATTGTCTCGAGCCGACTCTCGAGCTTGTGCGAGCTTCCTGGTCGCTGTAGGTCGTCGAATGCGCCAGCCAGAGGCGGCCTGTCTCGTGCGTTGGGCCTCTTCAGTTTGTTGGGACCCGGGTAGCCCATGTCAATAGACCTCGTCCGGCTTGCGGTCGCCCTCGACAAACTTGCAGTCTGGCTAACATCACCCGTGGCCGGGTTGCGGGTGTGCTTGCTGAGCGTCCTCCAGACAGACGGGCGATCCTCATTTTTGCTGTTCTGGCGCAGTAACGAGTCCAGTCCAAACTTACGGCGGATAGAGGATGTGTTGGAGGTTAAGGAGCCTGTGTGAGACTTGGTGCTGCGAGTCGTAGAGTTCATCGACTCATACGCCGAGCCACCAGGATGAAGGTTGGCCCCGAAGCTGGTGTCCTCAAAGATGCGATCGCAATCTTCGACGAGGCGGTCAAGAAGGTTAATGTAGTTATGCGCTGTGCCGTCTACAACCAGCAGTTCGGCAAACGCGACGGTAATTGCGCCTCGATCGCTGTCGTTGCTGCACCCCTCCAGCAAGTCGGCGAGCAGCTTTATCAAGGCCGTGAACGCTCGTCGGTTCTGTGGCGCCATGTCTCCAAACATGTAGTTGACAAAGTCGGCGAAGTTTCCTGGCACCTGCTTGTTCATGCGCTCCTGCAGCGTATCAAGGGCCTGGATTGTCATGATGGGACCCATCTGCTCTCGCCAGGCGATGTTGAGGAACTTTTCGAAAGCGACGAAGATGGAGTCAGCAGAAAGTTCAGATGATGCGTCGAGGTCAAAGGGGCTCTCGATGAGCCTGTTGTACAGGTCATTGACGGCCAGCTCATCCACAGCCCCTCTGTTAAGAAGCATTCGGCCAACGATGCTGCCCTTGCGTGCCTGCAAGCTAGCAACGTATCCAGTAAATGTTTGCTCGAGGCGCACCAAGGGATTTTCAGGTTTGCTTTCATCCATGGCGATCCGTACCCCGTCTCTGCTTCTTGCTGAGCCAAAAATCGAGTTGGTCTCGCTGTTGGCGCGTGATATGGGAGGGGGAAAGACGTTGGTGACGGGAACTCTGGCGTGCTTCGGCGAGGCCGCGCCCTGATCTGCGCCCGCGTTGGAGCTGCCTCCCCAGATTGTCGACAACAGGCCCTTGACTGGTGATGACGCAAGGAAAGATCGCGTCTTCTCTGCCCGGGTTGTCAGCTGAAGGCCTTTGAGGGCTTTCGTATAATACGACACCAATGCTGGAGTAAGACGCATATTGGACGTGTTGTGTTGTATACTGAGCAGTTGAATGACTAGGATTTCTCGATTAGCATAGTGATATTGGTGTAAGGGCCTCGCGAGACTTACTTCGACGCGACAAGGTGGGAAGAAAGTCCTCAAGAGCAACGTCATCTGCAAATTGCTTTCCGTTCAACCCTGCTGTTTGCATGTTCACGCGCCTCATGTCGCCGCTGTGCACATTGACAGTGACCTCAACGCCATAGTGTCCGATAGGCGCGCCCTTGGTGCCTTTCTCGTGATCCACAACGATACGGATAGGTGCTGGTTCCCGCCTTCCCTCAATCAGCTGGTCAGCCCCTTCTTGGAACACGGCGGCAAAGATGCCCAGGTTGTTGTCTGGCAACCGTGAGCACCGAAGGGTCCACGTAGGATCCTCGCGCTCGCCCTCGGAGAACCGGCCTTCAACACGAGCCTTGACAATGTCCTCGGTCCATTTAAAGGCTTTGGCCTCGTGAGTCTCTTGAAGCTGGAAACACCGCGAGGTCACCGCCGTGCCTGTGACCCACTCTCCAGCATGGGCACCCTTCATCTCTTGTGTGGATGTCATCCAAACAAGCGTGCCATCGGCGGATTCGGTGAATCGAACGTCTGACAGGTTATGCCAGCCGGTGAATGCAAGCTCGTAGGACCCGGGGCCACCGGCAGCATTGGTCATGGATACAAGGAGGCCAGCAGCGGAAGGTTTGTCAATCTCGCGCAGCAGATCCCGACCCGTGACGATATTGGGACCGAGCTTCTTCAGAATGACGACGCAATCTGCAAACAACAAGAACATGCCAGATCTGTCTGCTGCTTCGTACTGATCCACCGAGTTGAAAGGTGCAGGCACCTCGACAAAGTCGGCCGCGAGAATCAGGCGTCCCTGAGGCTGCAGGTCCAACGGCCAGCTCTCCACCATATTTCGTAGTCGGTTGGTGACGTGGGGTTTGTCTGGCAGTGGCTCGTCCATGGAGCAGATATTTGTGATGATATCCCTCGCCTTCAGCATGGGCTGCAGGGCGGGATGCGTCATGGGCAAGCAACTGACGATCTGGTCAATCAGCAGGCTGTACCGGGGTAGTCGCTGAACTGGCTCAATAAGAATGGAGCGCACGGCTTGCTCGCCCGTCTGTGTCACTCTCTGTCGGAAGCTCGACTGCTGGTCGAGAAACGAGTTGAGAAGAGTCGGGAAGTGTTGGCTGGCACGGATGTACTCCTGATAGCAGTCGGTAAACTTGGGGAACCATTCTAGGAATATCCTCGCGACTGCCAGAGCGCCACTGGGGTCTTTGGCCTTGGCCGATGCGCCGAGTTTAGAGCCCATGAGTGCTGTTGTCGTTGTTTCCATGTCACGTACGGCCTCATCCTCGGTGTCGTTCATGACATTGCGGAGTTCCTGCATGAAGGCAGAGTTGATCTGCAGTATCCTGTCGGCGGAGCGGGGGAAAAGCTTCTCGAGCTCCTCTTCGGAAGGGCTCAGACTGCCTCGCACCCGGGATTTCGCCGACTGTCGAAAGTCGTCGGCAATGTGCTTGACAAGCTCGTTGAGCTTCATGACGTAGCGTTCTTCTGTGTCTATGAGCTCGCCCAGCTTCATCCTCAAGTCCACTTTCTGATCCCTCGTGAAGGATTTGCTCCGATTCAGCGCGGTGGGTTTCGAGGGTGCCCTTCGCAGTCGGGCTGTCGGCAGAAATACAGGCTCGCCAAAGAGCTTGACCAAGGGTGTGTAACCTCCATACTGTCGCAGAGTGGGGTCGAGTATGTCGTCGTCGTCGTCGGGAACGTCTTCGAGATCTTCTGGGCGGAGGGGCACGATAGCACCAGGCGGCAGCACAAAGTCAATGTCAACATTGCTCAGGTGCTGTGTCTGCAGAGCGGTCTGCAGAGTAGCAATTACTTCCGCCGTATTCTCGCTCTGGATCATATTGGCAGCGAGGTCAGCGGCATGCTGTTCACCGAACAGCGCAGGGCCGCTGCCAGGCCGCCTCCCCCTCGTGGTGGGGTAGGTGTGCTTCAGGTGATTCTTGACGACCTCGGGAAGCTCGGTGAAGTATTTGAAGAGGCCGAAGGCGAGGCCGCGGTAGATCTCGTCGCCCTGCCATTCGCGGGGCAGGTAGTTGACAACGCTGTAGAAGGGCGAACTGGGGCTGATGGTCAGGCGAGGGAAGCATTGCAGGCCAGCGGGGCTGTAGACGTGGATCTGGACGCGAGAGCTGTTGAGAGTATAGTTGGCCGTGGTCGAGGGGCCGTGGAATATCAGGACGGGGAGGTGGCCGAGAAGAGGGTCGGTGGCGTGGTATAGGGTGACGTGCTCCGCAGACAGGGCGGGCTCGTCAGTGACGCGAACCATGGCGGCGGCTGATGATGATCGTGGTCTCGTTAACGGGCCTCCAGGAGCATTGCCGACTTATCGCCCAGGCGTTAAGGAGTATGGAATGCTATCCGATGGAGGAGCGACCTGGGAGAGAGGCGAAGCGACGTTGTTGCTTGTTTTCTTCCAGGTAAACATAGAAGCACCGTGTGGTGGTGACGACGATGCGCTAGCGCGTCGACGGGCTGCTGCAGCCGCTTGTGCGCGGGTCGCTGATTTGGCTTGCGGCTGCAAGGTGATGCGGCTGGCCTGTCTTGCGACCTGATGTCGGGAGGGGGGGGGCGGGTGATGAAAATAGCGAACGTGGTTGTCGACGATGGGGAGGGGGTCGATCTCAAAAGTCGAAGCCCGTCTGGGAGTGGTGGAAGCAGGAATGATCGGGTTTCGGATCGGGCCCCCGTCAAGCTTAAGCGAGGGAAGCTCAGATCGCCTTACGATGGATTGGAAACTTGGTCCCCGGCGGCAGACAGGACAATGCAATGCAAATGCGGAAATTTCACCACAGTTATTCTCGCTTGCCTCCCACTAGGATGTTATGGCTCACCGCCCCAGTGACAACAGCTTTACCAGTGTCCTACTGGGCGCGTTGCTGACGGGACTCGACGCGTTGCCAGGGGACCTTGGGCGCTAGAGAACTAGGCCAATGCCGAGACCGCCCGCTGTCAACACACAAAGGCACCTGCCGTCATTGTCAGATAAGGTGCCTCCATAGGTACATGTACCTAGGTACGTATCTGGATAGCTACATGCACCTAGGTACCTAGAGGTGCCTGGTGCAAGGCCAGTGACCTTGGCAGGGGGAATAGCGGCAGCAGACGCTAAAACAAAGCCCCACGCTGCTGGCAGCATGTTTGGCACGGGTCAGCCTCGACCCCTCCTTCCAAATCCAGCGCCAGTAGCGTTTGCAGAGCACTCACTGTCAACGATCAAGGCAAGCAACTTAGCCAGCTTTGCTCATGTTTTGTTCCTATACATTGCCAGTGAACGAGATAAATAATGTTCAGTAATAGTTAGATTTCAAAGTCAGCGGGTCTCTTCTCTCACGTGAGATTCCACCGTCAGTTTCCGAATACCAACATCCGTCAGATATTGTGTTGTGCCCCACGTACCTTACCTGGCAATTTAGTCCACCTTCAAATGACCTCACTCGTGCTCCTTCGCTCCTCCACACCAGTCGGGCTGGACACCGCATCTCCCCATCTCCTAGCACATCACATGATGTCCACACAAGACAACAGCGGCATCCCAGTGTCCTCGGCCCCAGAGGGCCGAGGCTACAGGCTCTTCGAGCTCCCGCCCGAAGTCGAGTCGGCTCTCACATCACAAGCTCCTCCAGTGTACGACCTTCCGAGCCCCGGCCCCATCCCTATTCACCACCCATGGCACATAACAAGCCTTGTTCCGGGATTCTCTTCTGACGTCTTGGCAGCCTATACATCAAGCATCCCGAGGAAGCCTCAACAGCTCAACTGTCCGTCCCTGGCGGCAAGACGTATGCGCTCCAGCAGAAGAACACGTCCAACGCGCTCCTCATCCTCTCACCGTCGACTGACGACTCCGTCCCCGGGCTCGCTTCCGTTGCCACTGTTCATGAGATCATCGAACTGTTGCCCGAAGCACCTGGGCCCGAGGCTCGGGGAAACAAGGGCAAGTGGCACGAAAGATTTGGCAAGAATCGGTGACGAACAAGGCATTACTGTTGACAACAAGCATTCCTTCCAGTTCTGGAAGGTGGGTTAGGACATGACGTCCAATTTTTGAGTCGTAATAACTTTCTTTCTTTCCATTCTCCGGATAACTCATTGCATCATGACTACTAGGTGTATGTCACGGATTCGCGCAGCAATGGTCATCCTGGGCGTGCTAAAGAAGTGCTCTACAATGTGATATACTGACTTGCATCGAATTGACTGTCTCAGTCTGCCAAACCTCAATTTCACCCGCTAACCTTTACCTATTGTGCGAGCCGGAGACTCGATCGGTTATTCACAAAGGTATGGCGTCGGCCTAAATACAGGTCGGGGACGCGAATCCACCTTTCCACGATGATAACCGTGCAAGCAGTTCATAGCATGGCTAGGTAGAGGTGCTACGAGCATTACCAGACACTGTCAAGCCTTTCAAGAAATACAATGCGATTCTTTGTGGACTACAAATATGAACAGAATGACTTGTCTCTATGATACAAGATCCGGATCCGTCACTTGTAATCACCGTCCGAACCATTGGACTCGAAATCGTCTTCTTCTTCTTCTTCATCCTCACTTTCTGACACCATGACCCTTTGGCGGCGCCTTGTGGAACGCCGTGGCGCTGCTCGTCGTTTAGCCCGAGGTTGCGCCTTCTTAGGTGCAGGCAGAGTATCAGACTGACTAGCCTCCTCAGGTTCGACATTGTCGGATTGATCGGATAGCTCTTGGACTGCATCGACCTTACTTGAGGTTCCATCTCGGTCTTCACCGTGATCAACGACCAGATCATCCAGGCCTTCCTCTTCGTCGTCATCAATAGGCGGGAAAAAGCTAGAGGTGACCTTCCTCGCTGGGGGTTGAGTCGTACTTTCCGCCGCGTCTTGGTCATCTGGCAGGAAACCACCGGCCAGGTCATCGTCATGTCCAGCGGGAAGAAAGCCGCCAGCCATATCGGGGTCGCCGTCGAACGCAGCCGGTCTATCGATCTCCTCGTCCAGGTCGTCGTCGCCAGCGCCCCCAGTTTTTCGGCCGAAAATCTGAACGTCGTCCTCTACGTGTCCATAGTCTTGTCGAATTCGCTCTACGATTCGTAGCCCTTTGAGAAACTTGCTCCAAAGCCGCAATGCTTCTTTGCGCCGCTTCTCATCTTCCTTACGAGCTTTCTCCGCCTCGTCCTTTCGGAGCTCTTCCATCACCCGATCGTGGTGCTCCTCAGCAACGACAACACCTTGTATGACAGGTACAGCCATGCGGTGGCCGAACTCAAAGTCCACGACAGCCTCAGCAAAGTCGATTTGCAATCTCTTACACACCTTGACCACCCCTCGAAAGGGAATATGGACGGCTCCTTCCGGACACATGTGCTCTGCGAACAGGTCGATGTTGCCATAGTCATTCTTCGGGATGATCCCATCCTTGATCGGTGGAGGTATGATCCAGTCGGTTTGGTCGAAACTGTAAAGCCCCTGCAACACCTTTTGCCCACTGATAGCCTCGGCTTCAGCGAGCTCCCGTCTCCTGTTCGTTGTCGCGGCACGGTACGGCACCTTCTTTAGTGGTAGTTCACCTGCTCGTGGCGCCCGTCCCTGCTTGTGCCACGTCTCTGCGCTCTTGACATTGACGACATCCTTTCTGGCATATACTGGCTCTTCGGCGCCGTCTTCACCTTTATCCTTGGCCTTATCCTTGGCCTTGCCTTTGTTTCGGAACATTTTGACCGCTTCCGCAGTAGGAAGAAGCGCCTCCTCGCGCTTTAAGTGCCGCTCGAGACAGAATTCCGTGGACTGTTTATAATACTGCAGCGTTTCCTCGCCTTCTTTTACCTCCTTCTTCTCAGGTTTGGCCGGCTTCAGGTCGGTTGAGTCTTCCTTTTCGTCCACTTCCGTAATGGGATACTTCCGGCTCCCCCGAACAAAGCCTTGGAGAGCTGACTTGAACCAGTCGAAATGGTTGTATCTCTTTATTTTCCCCCTCTTGTCGTGAACAGGTATCTTCTCTAATGGCATCCTCATTCCTTTGGTTCTGCCAGGTAAAGTCTGTCGCTTGAGGTACCTGACCGTGACATCTTTGGCTGTGCCGTCTTGGGAATAGCCAACGACATATGCCATAACTTGTCGCGCTTTGTCGGCTTTGCTGCCCCTTGGCTCCAGCGATTCGATAAGCTCGCGGTTGGTTGCAATGACTTTCTTCACAATTGGGTCGACCGGCAGGTATATCTTGGTGACTGGCGACAACACCTCAGTCCAGTAATGAGGATATTCGAGGTCCTGGTCGAATTTCTTGATGCTGGCGGGCTTGCTCGGCGCCACATCGAGCTCGACAACAGAGTCTTCATCGCTGTCTGGAACGACTGATATCAGCGTATCAGGCTCATCGGAATCCCCGGCCTCGTCTTTAACGCTCTTACGTCGGACTGATCTCCCATTAATTGTTTTTGCTGGCGGTTTCCTTTTCGTTTGCTGAGTGGATTTCTTGACGCCGAGGTTCTTTTTCGAAGGCGAGTCGCCCTCTGCGGCCAATTTGCTCCGCTGCACGGCTGCCAATGTACTTGTGTCCTTCTCTGCATCGGCATCCTCTGCCTTTGTCCAGCCAAAGCCCAAGGGTTGTAGATTAGCAACCATCCGAGCCTCAAGGCCTAGAGCGCGCAGCAATGCCGTAAAGAGCTGCGCGCCAACATCGCGACTTCCAGAGCAAGCCGCGGCACACGATCGAAAGCCATCGAGATCAGGAATCCTTTCTCCGTGAAGCTTTACGTCTTCGCTGGCATTTGCCCACTCTTTAGTCAGCCTGTCGAGACGCTCAAGAGACATATAGCCCAACTTGCGAATGCCGGGCGCGGTGACCTGAAAACGCTGCTTCCACCAGGAGCTCAAACTCTTCATCAGTCGGAACAGGGGATCGCCATGGCTCATGTCAACGGCACCTTCTTCCAAACGATCGGCGGCTGGCCCCCAGTCTCGGGAATCTTCATCGTCAGCCTTCTGGACTTTTGTGCGCCGCTTTGGCTTGGCTTTAGGTTTCGTTTCAGATGCTTTCTTGAACTTCCCGTCCAGTCCACTAGCGGTCCTCCAACGGTCGACTTCGTCGAAGAGCCGGGGCGGAATGTGCGACATCAAGGTAGCCTGCACCTCATGATCACAGAGCCAAGCATTTCGAATGGCATTGTGCCAGAGAAGATGCTGCACGTGCACACAGTGGGTTGCTATCCGAACCCTCCTTTCGATCTTCGAAGGGCCCTTCTTGTCGCCAAACGGGTTGGTCAGGGAGATCCGGGTGTCGCGGTGCAGGGTCAATTCCAGGTCACCGGTGCCGACCGAAGTGTCGAGCATTGACGTCCTCGGCGCAGGGACGTCCTCAAACTCAATGTCATCGTCATCTTCATCCTCGTCGTCATCGCCAGACCCCACGGTCACATGTCGTTTCGCGATTGGAACATCCTCAAAGTCTCCGTCCGAAAGGTCGCTCAAGGAGCTGCCATCCTCGCTGTCGTCGAGGCTCTCCAGAAACGTCTTGCTGGATTTGGCAACTGAGGCAGCGGAGGCGTCGAGGTCATCGTATAGTGTTGCCTTGCGCTTACGACCGGTCGACGACGGAGGCGGTGCGGCTGCAGTTTTGGCCACTTGCCTTCGTTTTGACTTGCTTGGATTGGGCGACTCATCGCGCAGCCTTTTGCGCGGTACGCTGGGAGGCATTGTATAAAAGCCGCCTAGGAGGGGTGTCGCGATTTACGACATTGCAGGACGGAGAAGGGACTCTATGGCGCCAGGTTTGCGCCAAGGCACCGACGAACCGAAGGTCTGGCGTCATTGATTTCACGGGAGGAACGCGAAGGCACGTGATCGACAACCAACCATACCAAGCCCAACAGGCAAGCGTTTATTGTACAGACTTAACCCGTTGCGCAGATGCGTCATAGAAGCCGGCTTAAGTCAAACAAAACGACTTGATCACATGCGAAAAGCAAAAGTTAATGCGCCGTACGTGAATCGAACACGTCTCTCATGCTTACTCGCTGTTGACGATGGAAGGCAGGAATCATAACCACTAGACCAACGGCGCTTGATGACAAACCATACATTCAAGCAAATACTTGTATTACTTGAAACACTTGCTGGTATCACCCCACCACTAACCTGGAGGGGGAGGCTACATCAGCACTTGGCAGCGTCTTGGGAGTTCCAGGTCATTCTACACCACTTCGTCAGCGCTTCTACTACCCAACTCCTTGACAATTGTCCAAGAGACTTCGGCAATTTGCCTCCACGTACTCTGGTTTGCCTAACGACGGCCTTTTAAATATCGACCTCAGCCATGGCGCCTACCACCCCCGAGGCCAATGACACAAGCTACGTCAACATGGGCGAGTCCAAAGACGGCTTTGACGAGACCCTTCTGGGCAAGCACTGCGAGTACGACTACTGCAACCAACTCGATTTTCTTCCCTTCTTCTGCCAATCCTGCAAGAAGACGTTCTGCCTCGACCACCGCTCCGAAACCTCTCACAAGTGCACCAATGCCGGCGCATGGGCCGAGCGTCGACGTCAGGCGCAGGCCGCGACACACTCCCATGGCCAGGGACGCCTCATGCGCGACGCCGTTTCCGAGAAGCCTTGCGCGTCCCCCTCGTGCAAGACCACGATTGGCACATCGCTCGTCCCTGGCGTCCACTGCTCCACCTGCAACCGCGACTACTGCCTAAAGCACCGACTGAATGAAGACCACAACTGCAAGAACCTTGTGCCTATTGGCGCGAGGGCGGGTGGCAGCCAGATGGACGTCGTTGCGTCCAGGACGAAGAGTGCACTCGACAAGCTGCGGGCGTGGGGTTCCGCGAAGAAGGAGCAGGCTGGAAGGGCGCTACCCAAGCCCAAACCCACCTCGGTATCGCAACGCATGATCGCCGTCAACAACCTGAAGAAGACAGCCAAGGGTGACGACAAGCTGGCGCCGGAAAAGAGGATATACGTATACGTCGAAGCGGAGGCCGAGACGGCGAAAGCCAAGTTCCCCAAGGGGGCCTTCTTCTTCTCCAAAGACTGGGTCGTGGGAAGGGTCCTGGACGACGCAGCGCGACGATTACAAGTCGAGAATATCAACAACCGTTCTTCGGACGAGAGGGACAAGCTGCGTGTCTTTCACGTGGAAGGTGGTCGGTTACTTGAGTTTAACGAGAAGGTTGGGTCGGCTCTGGTCAGTGGCAACACTGTTGTTTTGTTGCGCGGCGTTGGGCCACCTCCTGACTTGATCGAGGTGTGAGAAATGGGTCGTGGTGTTCAGCGTTGCATTGCATGGGCTTGCATGGGCTGGTCGGTTCAGCATACTTAGAGATACCCTTGAATGTTATAGCATGACAGGCCATACAGTAGACCGCGACGGCGCTCAGGATTACGGGATGGCCATTATTTACATAGTATGTGCGGAGCTGTGTCTGTAGGCTGTGCCTCTAGCTTGAAGCTGGTTCCCTCGTTTGGTGCGTTATAGTTCCTTCTCCTTGGTTGGCTTCTTTACCAGCAAATCCTCGCGCCCAGTTGTCGGCGCATCGCCAACATACTGCTTCCCACCATACGCCTCAAAGCCCTTGTGGAACAGCCACTCGACAGCATTCTCCACTGGCTCGTCGAACAGCGTGGGTAGTGCTGGAACGACCGCAAGGCCAAGGCCGATGGGACCCCATGTTTTGATTCTCGTGTTCTTCATGTTCTTCATCGCTCGTCCAGAGTAACGGACAACGCTGTGTATGGTGAATGCAGGCAAGCCCATACTTGCAAGGCTCTGGAAAATGGCCCTCTGCACCATAACGGTGCGGTAGTCCTCCAGGGGAGCGACCGTGCCGGCTTGCAGAGGAGCCTGCTCAGTTGCATCTACGGATTTGAGGCCCGAGATGTGCTCTTGTCGCTCCGTGAGCTGCAGTGCAGGGTTGAGTGTGCGCTGGTTGTGCAAATACGATTTGTAGCCCTCGTAGCTCACATCACCCAAAATGTAGAGCCACGAGATACCGTAGGCAGCGCGCACAAAATTGGGATGCGCCACAGGCCGGAACGACTCTCCAATGTCGGATGTGTAGGCTACATAGCGGTGCGCGGAGCTCAATATCGTGCGCACTCGGGTGGCGTAGGCTGCGTAACGAACGTTGGACTCGGTTGATTCGGGAGCGCTGTAAGACGTGTCAGATCATGACTTTTTACTTGAGCAGCCATCGAAACATACTAGCCGTCGACGAGCTCGTCAAAGAAGTTCTCATCTTTGTCTGAATCATTTGCGATTTTTTGCAGTGAGGCCGGCAGCTTCCTGTGCTCCGGGAGCTTGTCGGGATCGAATGCTCCCGTGGCTTTCGCAGTTGTAGGTGGCGGGCTGTCTGCGGCTTTGTCCGGAGACGCTGCGGGCTTGTCTTGAGGCTTTCCCCACCACATCTAGAATGACTTCGGTGCACAAATGGCGCCGTGAGAGTATGGTTATTGGTCGATGAACAAAGTTGAGATAAAAAGAAGAAGAAAAGGAAGAAGTTAGTAAGTGCTAGATATCGCGATTCGCCTTCCGGTTGCCTGCCTTGCCTGCGCAAGTTGCTCTAGGATGACGTCCCGGTTGCGGCTGGATAAGAAGCGTTACGTCCGATAAGAAGCCAGCCGGGAATCCCGCCCCACCACCTTGAGTTCCAATTGGTCGATCTGAGTGCCTGACAATCCAGGCCGCAATGGGCATTCTCGGGAACGATTTCTGGAGCTTCAACATCGCGAACACTGGCCGAAGCTCAGTTTAACCCATCACCCCTCACCGTCGACCCTGTCAATTCTTCCAGCCTCGATACCCCCCTTCCACCGCCAAAATGGTCCAGATGTACTCTATCGCCGGTCGCCAGATTGGCTCCCACTACGTACGTTCCCGTTGTCCCGGCTCTCTCCCTCGGCCATTGAGAGTAAAGTTCTAACATGCCGTTTCCCGCCCGCAGCTGGCCATCGGTGTCCTCGCCACCCTCTTCACCGGCTCCTACGTCTCCCTCAGCGGCGGTAGCAAAGCCCCCGCCACCACTCCCCCTATCAACGCCTCCAGCTCCGACGAGGCCGACTTCATCAAGTGCGTCATTTGCTCCCTCTTGAAGGCCGCCATGCCGTGCGGCTCGCGGCGTGATTGATCGGCTGCCAGACTCCAATGCTAATACCCATTGTAGGAAGTTCCTCGACAGCCAGGAGAAGGATGCGAAGAAGCACTAATGTGATTGACGGATGGTGCTGGAGCGAGCGGTCGGTGCGACCCGTGTACATTTAGAGGCGATGAAGTCTAGGGAATCAACCACGACTGTTGCCCACCCGAGGCTCGAACAAGTACAACCTCAACCTCTTTTTCTTTAGCACTATTCGAGCTGATGAACGGCTGCGTCATGTTTCGAAAGGACTAGAGAGCGCACCCTGTGGATGAAGGCGGCCCTTTGCTGTGAAGATCTTTCTGTCTCGACTGGCCACGATGACTTTCGCGCGAGATTTACGCTGATACACAGAAACATACGAAGACCTCCCAGCGCGATGTTGTTGGAGTATTTTCTCTTCTTGATGATTTAGCGTGTTGATTGTTCGCTGTGTTCCTTGGAACCATGCGCCCTGGCCATTCACTTCCTGTTTTCACCTCCTGGAAGAAAGGTTCATGTAACGACAGCAGGTTTTGAGATCCATCCTAGAAACGTGGCTCACGTATGATGACAGCGCCAAAAAAATAAAAAAAAATGAGAGTAATCCACGTTATCTCAAAGCTGGGTCTGTAGAGCTATCTATCAATCACCCATATACACATCAGAAGGCTATGGTGTACATGTCGTGGTAGCAATGAGTATTGTCATAGAGTTTCGGCTATTCAGATGGAAATGTTCGCAATTTACAAGGCAATATAGAATGGAACGAAGCTTGTGAACTTGATCAGCCGGATTTTGAGCTGTGGCAATGTTCTTGCTGTCAGGTCCTGGGAGAACACGCCCATTGTCCACCGCTGAAATTTCAAGCCAGACAGCCGTGTAAGGTCGTGCTTTACATCCGATTCATAAGGAAGTAGGAGATGGTTGAGTGACATAGTCTCTCAGCTCTTTCGTCCCAACGTTGTGCAAAGCTAATGGGATTATACAGGTAGTAGCTCACACAGCATGCCGCCATTCGAAGTACACAGCCTTTATGGCCACTACGGCGAGATTTCTAGTCTCCATGATCTCCCGTGAGCTAATTGGGGCTATTGCTGTAAAATATGAGCAACACTAAGTAGGTCATATGATAATTCTGACAAGATGTTAGAGGAACCTACGAAACCCATGGTGTCCCTTCTCAACGAAGGGTGCAATCAACTGGACAGCCCTACCGGAATCGCCAGTAGAATGTTCCTAGGGACCGTGAATGGCCGTCATAATAAGCTACCTAGTCAGTGGGCAACTACAAAAAAATGTTTTGCGATTCGCAATGACAGGCGCAGGTAGACTATTCATTCCTCCGTCGTTGACATGGTACATGGGCAGCCCACTGAATGGTGCAAGGTGGGGTCACTGTAGCCCGACGGGTCCACGCTCCAGGCTTTAGTACGCGTCTCCGCCTTAGCCCATTAAACGAAACGCGACGCGCGCATCCCGTCCCCCCTCCAAGTCAAGTCAAACATCTTCCCCCGGCGCCCATTGTCCGTGTCTGCAGTAGCAACTTTGAACGATTGAGGAACTCCGACATTTCAGCACATCAATAATGGGGTCTAACGAAGGCCCAGCAAAGCAGAATGCTGCCACGGCGCGCCACGAAGAGCACCAGTACCTTGACCTCGTCCGGGATATCCTTGACAATGGCGAGCACCGCCCAGACAGGTCAGACTTGAAGGGTCCGCAGAAGGCAACTGTCAACTGACCGACCACAGGACCGGCACCGGCACTTACTCCATATTCGCGCCGACACCGCTCAAGTTCAGCCTCAACCAGAATGGCGAGCCCCTCCTTCCCCTGCTGACGACAAAGCGCGTCTTCCTTCGCGCCGTCGTCGCCGAGCTTTTGTGGTTCGTACAGGGCAGCACGTCATCCATACCGCTGAGCGAGGCGGGCATCAAGATCTGGGACGGCAACGGCTCGCGCGAGTTCCTCGACAGCGTGGGACTCTCGCACCGCGAGGTAGGCGACCTCGGTCCCGTCTATGGCTTCCAATGGCGGCACTTCGGTGCTGAGTATGTTGATGCGAAGACGGACTACACGGGACAAGGTGTCGACCAGCTGGCAGAGATTGTCCACAAGCTCAAGACCAATCCGTACGATCGGCGCATCATCCTCAGCGCATGGAACCCGGCGCACCTGAAGAAGATGGCGCTGCCGCCCTGCCACATGTTTGCTCAGTTTTACGTCTCCTACCCGCGGGCCAGGAGGGGCAATGCCGCGGCCGAGGACGCCGAGGAGAAGCCCAAGGGCCACCTGCACTGCCAGCTCTACCAACGGTCATGTGACATGGGTCTCGGCGTGCCGTTCAACATTGCGAGCTACGCGCTGCTGACGCACATGATTGCGCGTGCATGCGATCTGGTCCCTGGGAGCCTGACGCATGTCATGGGCGATGCGCACGTCTACCTCGACCACGTCGATGCGCTGGAGACACAGCTCGAGCGGGAGCCCAGAGATTTCCCGCTGCTCGAGATGACGCGCGAGGCGGGCTGTGACATTGACGGCTGGAAGGCAGAGGACTTTGTGGTCAAGGGGTATGACCCTCACAAGACGATTGCCATGAAGATGTCGGTTTAGATGATAAGGAACGGGATACACGGATTGAGGGTTCGGTTAGAGTGTTTGATCATGAGAAGGCGTTCTTGGGTGGGCGAGTGCAAGCCAGGGCGGACACTTTGGTTCATGGCAATGCAATGATTGTTTCTCCGGTACATAAGGTACCTAAGCAGGGCACGTGGAGGATGGCCAGTCTGCGTGTGAATCGAGTAATGGAGGCCACAACCCCCTTAACATAGCTCTTGCCACGATGCAACGAGGGTGGTGGGAAAATCAATTGTGCGATTGAAACATGCATGAGACGCGAAAGCTTATGCAGTCAAATCACAGAAACCAGGTCGGGTAGCGCAATACCCACACAGTCGAAGTACAGTGCATCTGCGCTGATCCCACTGCCTCCTGCCCGTAGTACGCCTGCGCCTCGCTTGGGGCAGGTGCGTGCCTGCCCTCCGTTCTTCTCTTCCTCACTACACCATCTCCTTAACTGCAAATTCGCTCTCCACCATACATCGCACCTAACCTCTGACTCGGAACGGTTACAACGATTCCTCTTCAATTCAATCGCGCCTTTCGCCCATCTCCATCCCGTCGCGCATCCATCGCTGCGTGTTTGAACCAAGTCGCCTCTTCATGGCTGACCAGCCCATGGCGTCCGCCCCGGACGCCCACGACGTCAATGCAGGGCCCGTCGTCCACGACACCCACGACGGCCTCGAGCATGATCATGATCACGACCACGACCACGGCCACGAACACGACCATGATCACGAAACCCACGAAGCGCACGACGTGCATGATGTTCACCAAGTCGCAGACACGTCCATCGCCTCCACTGCTGGCGGCACACCTGCCAAAGAGCGCCATTCCCTGACACTCGACCAGCGACGCGCCCTTCGACGCTGGGCTAATGCGCAGACGAATCGACCCAGCCACAAGACGTGCATCGAGTGGTTCTATGCGCAGTATGGCCAGCACATTTCTCAGTCAACTGTCTCGCACTCTCTGTCGCCTAAATACTCACGCCTCGACGGCGACAACCCCCAGCTCTCCGGTTCGCGCCTGCGCTTTGGCAACTGGCCCGACGTTGAGAAGCTTGTCCTCCTCTGGTACCAACAGGTCCAGGCGTCTGGTCGCCAGCCTACTAACGAGGAACTCGGCGAGAAGGCCAAGTCTATCTTTGCTCAGCTGCCGCGCTACAAGGACGAGCAGCCGCCCGAGTTTTCCCCCGGCTGGATTCACCGCTTCAAGAAGCGCTACGGACTGCTCGTGCGCCGCCAGCGCCGCCATGGCGACGGCTCCCTGAGCCCCGCCGAAGACATCAACTACCTGGCCGACTGCGTGCCCCGCTTCCTGGCCATTTCGGCCGACACGTCTCCAGCGGCCATCAAGGAGTCTGTCCTGCGCGTCGTCGGCGTCGAGGCAACGCTCCAAGTGTGCGCCCTCGTGCGCGACGAAATCCTCCGGCGTGCGCAGAACCCCAATGCCGGCTTGCCCTCCGGTACTGCCTCGCCCCAACTTGCCCTCCCACCCGCTCCCCACCCACACAACACGCACCCCACCGACCCGAACCTGGTGCCTGCGCCCACGGGCAACGGGCGCCGACACGACCATGTACGGCACAGGCGACGAAGACCCAGAGGTCGTCCTCCAAAACGCGCTGCGCAGCTGCAGCAAGAAGAGGCCGACGCCGAGGCCAGCGCCGCCGTCGCCCGCGAAGAGCGCGAGCAGCGCGAACGCGCCCAAGGCACAGCGGCCGCCGCCCTCGCGACGCCCGGCGATGCACCGCGTATCCGCGGGCCCCGGCGGCGGCGGCGGCAGCAACAGCACACCTGGAGGCGCCGCCCGATACACCCCCGTACGGGAAGTGGCCCCCACTGCATGGACCCCATGGCGAGGACCTCACGCTAACCCCCATAAAGTCGGACGAGCCAGTCTCCAGCCACGACCGCCCGGTGCGTTGCCCGTTCTGTGTCAATCAGCGCATGCTGCGAACCATCAAGGAGGCAGTGGAGCACCTGTCGACACACGTCATTGTTTAGTTCAAATCCCTTGTCGAACTAGGGTGTTTTTTTTTTTTTTTTTTTTTTTTTTTGGCTTTCGTTTCAGGGGGGCGGGGGAAAGTCAAAAAGTCTATGAAGGTGGGTACCATTGAAGAACAAAGACTGTCTTCCTATTGTATCAGGCTCGCGGGTGAAGCAACCTCAGGGTTTACACGGGGTGGTAATGGCTAGGCAGAGGGCAGGTGGGCGGGCGTACGGTATAATGGCGCATGGGAGGCAAGGCGAGACCAGGAAGGCATCGACGGATCAGGATGAAAGCTCTCTTGCGTCGGTTGGAAGGAAGCAAGAGAGAGGGTGTGCATGAAATGGGGCCTTTGTATGACGATTATCCGGATGCGCCTGCATGCCTATATCCAAGCAGTCTGCTAGTGCCTTAAACATTCGACTGCGTTTCTACCCAAGACATGTTTGCGCCTGCTGTACTGTGTCGCTTGAACTGTGAGGCTCTTCCTTCGAGACACCACAGTTGCCGTGGAGGAGACACAAATCAATGGCGAATAGCACATGTCACAATACACCCAGCAAGTGTACGGAACATAAAAGCATCGTCTTCATTTCACCTCGTGCATCTTGACCCAACTCCGTTCCTCATGGTATAGCCTCAGCCTGTCCCAAGCTCTCCCCTTCATTGCCCGACAAAATATCCACCCAGAGAGGGTGTCCTTTTCCCACCGTGAGGTCTGCTTCTCTTGCCACCAACCCGTCCGAGCTGACTCTTCCCTCACACAGGCTCTGCCCTTGCTGGTGGAGGAGCTCCAAGGCTGACGGCACAGTTCCAGGACAACCCAACCGTTGAACGCCTCTGCGAGTCGCTGCATGCCCTCAAGGGCTCTGCCCTCCTCGTACCCTACATATCTTTGGAGAAGTCAATGTCATATCGATAGCTCATCTGCCTCGTCCTATTCTCCAGCAGGGGAATAAGAAAGGTATGAGGAGGTCACGACGGACCAGAAAAAAAACATGATTGGAAAACGCAGCCGCAAAGCAGAAAAAACAGAAAGGGTTTGAGAGAAAGTGGGTTCCACCGACACAACATGACAACATGTCTTGATGCCAGCTACTAAGAAGTGAAGAAAATTTGACCTGTGCAAACGAAAGCCAGGCCCTCCCAAAGCGGACCTGACAATGCAATGCGCGTAAAAAGGGGGAATCATGAAAAACTATAAAAGCAGCAGCAGGGCGACTGGGGGGTATGTTTTGGGCTCTCTTGATGAAATCATGACAAAACCGCGAGGCAACACACACACAAATACAGCCCCTAGACCTGATCGACATAAAGCAGAAGCTTGTCGTTCCTTTGCAGGGCGACGTCGAGGTCATTGTTGCTCATAAGACTCGGCTTGTCTCCTGTGCGCTCGTCCTTGTACGACAGTTGGACAGATTCGCTCATAGGAATCTTCAACCGATCGCAGATCTTTTCGTACAACTGCTGGAATTGGATGTCGGTGGGGACGCGGATGGCGATGAGGTCACCGTTGAAGCAGAGCTTGACCTTCATTGCAGAAACGCTCTGGTTGATGCCGGGGGAAGGTGACGGCTGGGGTCCTTGGGAGAGTGAGGATGTCTGACGCGTCATACTGGGCTGGCTGCTGTTTGATCGTTGCGGTGCTGCAGACAGTCCTGAGTAGCCTCCGCCGCTGAGGTTGTTCCGGGAAGACTGCCGCGAGGCACCATCCGCGGGAGAGTCTGTTGATGACTGTTGGGAGGCGCCTGACAGCCTGTACTCTTCACCTGTCGAGTTGGGATCGATTTCGTAATCACCCTCGCGGGGGGCGAAGAATTGCTTCACCAGCATGCATCGAGCAATGTAAGGTGGCTGTGCGAGCAGGTTCTTGACATAGGCATCAAGATTGTGGAGTCGGCCCTCCGTGATAGCGTCTGTCACGTAGTTGACGGGACCCGGCATATAAGGCAGGGTGCGCTTCTGTGTGCCAGTGTTGCCAGCTTCGGCTGGAAATTCAGTCAAGAGGGCGATTTGGAAGTCGTAGAAGTCCTCATAATAACGCGACAGCTCCCAATGACGGCCGTCCTCGAGAACCGCCTCAATGACAAACCAGTACTTTTCTTCGGCGAAGCAGTACCTGGGAATGCGGGCCGAGATTGGCGCATACATCTGCGAGACGGGCTTTGCAGCATACGAGTTTTGAACGGCACCTTGTTGCGAGGCGCGGACCTGCTGCTGGCAAGAAGTCAGTGAACTGCTGCCAAGTCAAAGGGCACTTGGCAAACTTACGTGGTTGGCGTTGTTCTGGCTACTCATGCGCCCCTGCTGTTGGAGGCTCATACGCTCCATGCCCTGCTCCAAGCCCTGACTAACCGGCTGGCCGGCTCCCTCAAATTTGCCAAGGGTAATGCTGCTGTTCTTGTATTCGGCGGCCATCTTCTTCCACTCCTCCACCTTAGGCACACCGGCCTTCTTGATGGCTTCTGCTGGGTTGCTCACTGCCTGGTTGGTGGCCATGTCTCGAATCTCAATGAACGAGACCGGGATCAAGCCAGGCCCTCCAAGCCTCCCTATGGGCTTGGCGACAAACCACTCTGGGTTGGACTGGGCGATGACGATGATAGCCTCGCCCTGTTTCGCCTCCAGTTCATCTGCACGCTCAGCTTGGAAGTCGTACATGACGATACCGTACACCATTGCGCCCGACTTGCTCCCAGAGCGAGAGGTGCGCTGAGTAACCGCGCCAGGCATAGGACCGCTAGGTGGAGAGATAGGTCCTCCTCCGTGGCTGTGAGCTTCAGCGTACCCTGAGTCATGCTCAGGTGCTCGGGAGGGAGGAGCTTGCGGCGGGTTGCTGCTGTCAGACTGGGCGCTGTCACGTTCGGTGCGGCCGAGGGCCTGGAAGAAAGCAACGGGGACAAGGCCACGAGCATCTGGAAGTGCGGGGTTGCAGGCCTCGTACCAGTCGGGGTCATTTTCCTTTCCAATAACGTGGAAAAAGTCTCCACGAGAGAAGCTGAGTTCTTGTTCAGACTGCGCCTCGTAATCGTAAAGCGCTCGAATGACCTGTAATCTCTGCGTTAGCAAGGCGTGCAAGTCGCGCGGGGTCTGCTGTATCGCACCTTCTTCGGTGGCACGATAGCGATGGCAGATTTCGGGGCGATGGAAACTTTCGAGCTGTCCTTCTCGCCTTTGATCGATCTGCGTAAAGCCTGCAGTAAAGCATGTTTGGTCAGTACGGTGGTCATCTTGCCGGGCGCGGCAGCCAAGAGTAGGCGGAAATGATAGGAAAGGAGGAAACCGCAGTTTGCTCAACAGTTGTGACGGAAAAGAAGACGCGAAAGCGACTTGTGTGCATGCGGACGAAGGGCTCCACGAACCTTCATCTTGTACGACGAGCTGATGCTCAGTTTGTAAGGGTGTGAGAGTGGCCACTATCCTCCTCGCGTGCGCGAATGTGTTGTGGGACGCCTGAAGGAATCAATGCGCCCTGTCGTATTGGGATTATGACGCCGCAAGCGTTTCCCCGAAGCAACCTGCTTCGACTATCTCTTCTCAGCAGATAAGCAGCGCGAAAAGCGTAGAAATAGAAGTCGGAATGACCGATGGTTGCGTGTGTTTCCGGCGCGAGGTCGGGATAATAGTGGCAACAATGGGTTATTGCGCCACAGGGGAAAGACGAAGTCGAGGGGAGCCAGCCGGACGTTGAGTCAGTGAATGGCAGGACCCTGCTTGGTTGATCGGACGGCGGATTGGGGCAGATTCGTGGCAAGGTAGGATTACTGCTGCACCTTGAGCAAATGTGGGAGGGCGGGGACTTTGGTGTCGAGTGTCGGAAGATCGAGTGCGAACGCGATGTTCCGTCTTCAAAGCAAGTCCTCCTTCGCACTCATGCAAACCGATGTCTCGGTAAATGGACGATTTCGAGTCCTCCTTTTGCTTTAACCTGCGTGTCGCGGTTGAACGTGGAAAAGTAAAAGAAGGGGTGTCGTGTGCCTGGTGTATTCCGTGATGGAGGAGGTACGAGTGGGAGAGAATGCGAGCAGCGCGCAAATGCAAATGCCTCAATGACCGTGGCTCTTCCGTCCAGTGTCGGGGGATTTGTTGGAGCGTTTTCGAGAGATGTCGTCGCAACGTTTTGATCTGTGTATTCAACGCATACTAATTCCGATGCCTGTCGTCGGGATGCAGAGAATTTCGGCCTGGTCGCAGTGGGCAGGGAGACTCGGCTGGCGCAGCAGAAGGAGGGAGGCAAGGAGGGGAGGGGGGGGGGGTGTGGTGGCAGGCGCTGGTGGGCATGAGAAGGAGCGTCTCTCTGGGTCGGTAAGACTAAGAAATGCAGGTGCAGGGGAGTGGAGGAGGGAGCCAGACGTGGGAAAAGGACTCGACTTTGCTTGGTTCACAGCCATCCACCCTGGAAATACTATGCCGCACCAGTCGTTGCCTACACCTCCTCCCACTGCGCCAGCCGGGAGAGAGGGGCCTCCCTCCCAGCTACCTAGGTGGCTAGGTACAGTACCAGCACCATCGTAGCACACCTTTGCTGCATGTACGCTAATTAGATGGGACGGGATGGGGATCCTCCAGCGAACGACCAGGCCGAAGAGCCCGAACAAGGGGGTAGGGCGAAAGGGCTGGTGGTTTGGTGGCTGGGTGCACATTGGGAGCACGCCTGAACCAAACATCTTTGTGGGTTCGTCTGTCCTCCCTCTATTGGGCTGCTGCGTGCCTCCGTCGCCTGTTTGATTCCTTGACTGACATTCTCCTACTAACTGGCGAGGTAATTCCATGCCGTCATGATAGCGCGACAGAAGGCCGAGCGCCCGGATCTTATGATCACTATCATACAACATGCCAACAGAAACAACTAGCCAGCTCCAACCAAGCACACGGCCTTTGAGCCCCTCCCCCTCAAACGCACCGATCAACTCAGCGGGTGGCCCCAACGCTTCGAATGCCGACTCCTACCCTCTTCTGTCAGCCCAGCTGAACCGACTGCCTACCGGCCCATGCTTTCGTTTGGCTCACATCCGGTTCTGCCTTGACAATCGTTGCTTTCCCCTGCACAAGAACATCCCGCATGGCTCTCGGTTTCTCTTGCGTGAGCCTCGATCGAACCGATATACCTGAGGGGTCGATCGAGGGAGGGGTAGTTTTGCTCAATTTGTACGAGCCAGAGACAGCGGCATCTTATCGATAAAATGGGCAACGCGCGTAGCAGCACACACGCGACGCAAGGGCGCCCGCACCACCACAAAACCCAGATTTCCCCTAACATCAAGTGACCCATCTGCGGCTGGCATGAATCACGGATTACCCCGGCGGGGGTGGCTTACCCACTCCCCATCTATCGGAAGCCTCGAAGCCAACTTTTTTTTTGGGCCTCAATGTCATGCTGCGACTGGGCTCCTGTGCTGTCCCGCCTTGACGTGAAGCCTTGTCTCTCTACCTGTACATGCACAGGCAGGCAAGACATGCATCGTCATGCTGCACCTCTCGGAGCGTGGCGGGCTGTGCCATATGGCTCAGCGATTTGGCAGGCCGCCTGCACGCGGCCGCCGGGCTGGCGCGCGGTTCGCGTTTGACGTTGCTTGGGCCATCCCACTAGTCCTCCTCTTTGAGCCGTTGATCAAGAGGTAGCACAACAGTGAATGTATCGCACTACCTACCTAATCAAGGAGCTGCGCGCACATACGTCACAACCTCCCCGATGACGACGCCCTCGTCCTTTGAACAAGTCTTCTAGAAAGAAACGCCTCGTGCGATTTGCTGGAGCATTGGGCTTGCTGCGCCCCGTTCCAATTCCAATTCATTCGTCTCATCCATCAGACGCTTCAGATTAATTGATTTCTTGTGGAGGCCCGTCCATCTCCGCCTTCCCCCCGGATGTGCCCCGGGGCTCGTGCCCGGCTCGGCCGCATGCCGGTTTCAGTCCGAGAGTTCCAAGCGGGCTCATCAATGCCTTCACAAACAAGTCTGACTAGGACGCGGGCAATCCCGTGTCATACGCCGCTCGGGATCACACGTGCATTGTGAGAGGGCTGAAGAGGCACAGCCTTAAGGTAAAACAAACTTCTTTTGTTCATCCAACGCCGGACAGCCAGCTCGGCTCGGTTTGCAAAAGCAAGCCAAGTTGGCTGTCTTGAACTCCTTTTCAGCACACAGTATCTAGTACTACCATAAATATGGGTTCCTCTCTTACTCGTCATGCCGTGCTCGTCTCGAACAATGAACGCCGTCCGGCAGCAACCGTCTCGTGTTTAAATCAAAGTGCCCCCGATGGCCGCGTAAGTAAAGAATATATATCATAGGGTATCAAGTGGCAAATCGAGCCATAGAGAAGAGTCCGATAGAAAGCCACCTTCAAGGTACTTGCAAGGACACGATGACGCTGCACAGGTCTGCTGCTGAGAGAGAGCACAACCGTATGAGGCATACATGTGCACCGCACCGTGACCAGGTAAGCGGTTTGACCGCGTGAGATGAACACCATTGGGCTGCCTGTCTAGACAAGCCTGTCCGGTTCTCGTAGCGGATTCGGTCGTGTCGTGACCACGTATGTCGTTATGGGGAAAGGGTGAAAAGAAGAAAAGAAAGGGACGAGATTGGCTACGTGTATGTGACTTGTGTGGCCATTGCAGCCATGATCATGGGCTGACAATGCGCTCATCGAACGCGGCTGCGAAAAGATGTGCTACATGGCTGCAAACGTGGAATATTGTATGCAGCCAACGATTTACGGGTGTCCTTAAATCTGTCCCTTGATATCGACGGTGCGGAAGGCCGCGCTTCGAGCCGTCTCGAATAGCGGGCCAGCCTTGCCGGTCATGAGGGAGATGGAATCTTGCCGCTCTTCAAGAAGATCTTGACCATTGTAGTCAACAATGAATTGAGCAGCGTCGTGATCGGACTCAAAACCGAGTTCCTCAGTGATGAATCGTAACTTTACGTCTGGTTTGTAACTATGAGTGTGTCAGCAGGGAACTTCTGGCGAGCAGAAGATGGAGAAAGAACTCACGCTTTGCAAATGTTGCACAAAGCTGCGAGACGCTCTCGTACGACAAACATGTCCATGAGATAAGCGCCCATATTGGGGGTGTCGAGATACAACTGAAAAAATTTGTGGTAGTTACCCAGGGCTAACGCTGAGCGAACACTTAGTGCATGTTTAATAGGGCCCTTCTCCTTCTCTGCTGTGGTTAGGTCTGCCATCGCATCATTCAGTCCGGTGCGGTTGGCGGTATGGATAAAGTACAGGATACGATATGCCTTGAATTCGATGGGGTTCCCTTGCAGACCCAGCGCATACAGAGTGCGCAGCTGGGTCTGGCACTGATTGTACTCACCGAGGTCCCCCTTTTCCAAGGCAATCCGGGCGTGCAATTCGTAGACCGTTACAGTGAAGTCATTCTTGATCCGCTGCACGGTCAGATCTTGGCGTACGGATTTCAGTTGGTCGCAAATGTAGGAATAGTTGCTCTCCTTCCGCCACTTCTTCTTCAATAAATCCAAGGTTTGATGAAGCACGGGCTCGGGTCGCACCAGGGACGGGATGGGGGCAGAGGTCAACCTCAGGTATCTCTTCTCAAGAACCTCACAGGTACCGATCACGGGACCCGTTGACGGCGGAGGCGTGGGGGATCGTGGCGCCGACTGATAGTTACCCCATCGGCGCTGGCGTTTCTCCAGCTGCTTCTGGAACTTACTGGATTTAGGCAGAGGTTCGTCCATACTGGGTCGTTTATCAGGCGAGGGGTGTGTGATGCGATCCTCAAGGGACGAAGAGGGGTTGCTGTTAGTATGACGCCACGGCACAGCAGAGGACTGATCATCGCCGCCGAGATCAGTCGACTTGCGCTTCTTCGCGTTCACATTGAACATGGAAGTAGCAGCTGCATGATGACGGGCCGCTTGAACAAGAGCAGTGGGTGATGGCATGTTATCCCAGTCGATGGAGTCGATGCTACCAGTGTCCACGGCGCTGGATATCGTCTCCTTCAACTTGGCCTCGACCTCCTCCCTAGAGACTGACGGGTTCAGGTTGGCTGGTAGGAAAGCACGACGGACATATTCGCGAACAGAGGGAGAGAATACAACTTTGCCCTTCGGCGGAGGGGCGGCAGGTGCGGGAGTGACAGTTTCGGACGAGGGCATCGCAACAGGGGCGTGAGGCATAGGGTGAGGAGGATACTGGCCGAAGCCCTGACGGACCTGAACCGGCGTGTAGGCTGGGTCTGCACGGAAAGTCAGCCTTGTGTCGTGTTGTGTTGCACTGAACGAAAACTTACTGGGCGGGTAGGCGTAATTCGAGATGGGAGGAACAGGAGTCGGATGTTGAAGACCAGGAGGTGCGGTCTGCCAGCCGGAAGGCATCATGGTGGTGAGGGTAAATCGCGCGTATGTCGGTTGGTGGTCCGATGGTCCGAAGACGCTGCCTTGATTAGTTGTCTTTCGTGAAGGCGTTCTAGAGACTCGATTTCGTCGGTGTGCCTGGTATTCTCGACTCGGGCTTGCTGTGGGGTGTGCGTGTGAAGCTGTCAAAGAGTCGAGAGGAAGTTGTGGAGTAGAGGATCTGTGGGCAACGCATAGACTTCTGCCTTACTTGAGATCACTTGAGGAGGGTCGCAACGCACGGACCGTATGACCAGCCACGTGACTGAGGATCCCTCAAGGAAGCTTTGCCATCTTTGCCTGTTGACTACCTAGGTACCTAAGAAGTCTCCCGTTTACTCAGGTAACTCGCTCTGAGTACCTTACACCAAGAAGATTTCCGTAAGCTTCTACTGCACCCACGCCATCTGGCCTTCGAACATAAGTGTACCATGTTTTCCGAGGTGTTTACCAAGGCGCCCTCAAGTGTCTACCTTAGCGTTCGACAACGAGATTACTGGCAAGTCCAATAGCGAACATATGAGTCAGCATGATCGTGTGTACCTGTCACAGTACACTTCTCAAGCTTCAGATTCGCAGATTCCTCCAAGGGTCAGAATACAGCGTTGTAGCGTCCTCGCATTTTCCCTCGGACCCCTGGAAAGCAGACGTCATGGTTAACCTTCGATCTTTCGATGCAAGTAACGCTGGCTCAATTGGGGCAGCATGTGACGTTTTGCCCCAGGTCTTATCTAGTGGCACGCTTATCAGCAGTAGAGGGGCGGCCGGCCAGGACAGGGATGGCCACCTTGACTCTCAGGGCGCGAGGGGAGGGGGGGGGGGGCACTTCACAAGGTCATCGACACACGACTCGCAACCCAAACTTGCCACGAGAACCTGGCCGACCATTCTTAACGTCCGCGAACCATGTGGCACCCATAGATTACTCGACGATTGCCAGAGCTTCATGTGCTTTTGTACGCGTGCTAGCTAGCCTGTGGTCGTCATCCATCTCGCTCACATCAACCGACCTGCAACGAAGCAAGCTGGCAAAGCGGCCGCTCTGACATGACGGATGTTTCTCAAATCCATCGACCTCACCACCGCTCTTCGGCCTTCCTATCTGCCTGACGAGGTCCTGCTATTTGTGCAAGACAATGTGGGCCTATATGAGGGGTAAGACAGGATGTACCCTAAATCTGCGACCAAACTGCTGCTGACTCTAGCTCGTAGGAAGTATAAGTTGCCGCACCATCAAAATGGCCAGGTGTACCTGACATCGCACCGAATCTGCTATGTCGACAAAGAAGATCCTCGAACGCACTCGGTCGCACTCGAATTGAAAGATGTCGACCGCTACGAGTTCTACGCTGGCTTCCTCAAGTCGTCGGCCAAGATAACGCTCATACCGAAACCCTTGAAGCGTTCCTCGCTCATGGCCAGAGCGTCAGCCATATCCCCTGCCACCGGACGGCCAAGCTCTCATATCGGTCCTGGTTCAGGTTCCAACACACCTGCTTCGTCCGATGGCCCCTACAGACCCCCCTCCGAGCAGCAGTCGGTCAGCTCTGCGACCTGGGTCTGCACCATATGCAGCTTCTCAAACCCAGTGCCTTCGAATTTCGATCCAACCACGGCCAATATTCATACACCTCTGCCGCCATGCCTCGCTTGCGGGATCAAGCCCTCCTTGGCGCACGTGTTAAAGGCGGCCATCTCCAACGCCACGAATAGGTCCGCTGCAGCACCTGCGACTCCTTCCGGGCCGCTGCCTGCCGCAACGCAACCCCAACGATCAAACTCGCGAACAGGAGAAACGGGCGCCCCCCCGCTGTGGCCAGGATCGTCCAGCATCGTAGGCACGCCTCCTTCACAGCAACCGATGCAGCCAGCGTCGCTCGACCCCAGCGCCCATTTCCAATGCCCTCGGTGTACATTCCTCAACCATCCGTCGTTGCTAACATGTGAAATATGCGGTGCGCCGCTCTTGGCCCAAAACACACCGACATCAGCCCTCAAGGAGGCTCCTCAGCGAATAGAGTCACCGGGGCCCGTTCTGAAGGGACCTACCGCTGGGTCTGGGTCTGACACGGCGGAGAGCGTCAAGATATCCTTCCGAGGGGGAGGCGAGAAGATCTTCCACGAAAGGCTCAAAAACTCCATCGCGCAGCGGAAATGGCTTTTGCAAGGAGCCCCACCGGTACCGAGAAGCGGTCGAGCCTCGAGTGAAAATGGGGCTCATGGCCAGTCACCGTCAGGCTCAGGGCCGGAACGGAAGAAAGGAGTGGGCATTGCCGGGCTCGAGCAGCGCGGCCTCGACATGCGCAAGAATAACGAGGTCATGATTGGCAGCGCTTTCGAGGACTTGGACGCTCTCATGGCCTCGGCGAAGGAGATTGTGGCGCTCGCAGAGAGGTTCGCGCGGCAGGCCAACGGGGGCAGTGGCGCGGCGGCTTCTGAGGCGAACGCGCTGCTCGCCGAGTCGGCCAGCCAGCTCGGGTTGATCACGACGAAGGACATAGTCAGCGGAAGCAGCAGCTCCGAGAAGCTCTACCTCTCAGAGCTGGCTCGCAATCTGGCCGAGTTTCTGACAGACGACGCCCGTGGCGTCCTCAAGAAGGCGGGCGGGGTTTTGAGTCTGGTCGACCTGTGGGCCATGTTCAACCGGGCCCGCGGCGGTGTCGAGCTCGTCAGCCCCATGGATTTTGAGAAGGCAGCCCAGATGTGGGAGTCGCTCAAGCTCCCCGTGCGGCTGCGCACCTTCAAGAGCGGTGTCATGGTGGTCCAGAGCAGTGACAGGACGGACGAGACGACCATCAAGGCGCTCAAGTCATGGCTAGCAGACCTTCACGAGTTTCCTCCCGAGCGCGAGGTGGCATGGGACTGGCGCATGTTCGGCCGTGGCGTCACGGCGCGCGACGCGGCCGAGCGGTTTGGCTGGAGCATCGGCGTGGCCGAGGAAGAGCTGGAAATGGCCGAAGAGCGTGGCGTGCTCTGTCGCGAGGAGGGTATCGAGGGTCTCAAGTTCTGGGAGAACTTTATCGACACGGGCGAACGTCACAAGCGGCGCGTCAAGAAGCGGACGACGGAGGATGATCAGGTCACACGCGCGCTCAAAGAAGCGGGCTTCATTTGATGATGGTGGGGGGAACCCCAAGTCTACCTGCCGCACCTCAAGTCATTAAAAACGTGTGCGTCCCCATCTATTTGTCCCTTCTATGTATCTTCTTGATGTGTTGTTCATTAGCCAGCCGTGCGGGAAGACTTGCCCCTTCTTTTGTTGTTGTTGTTGTACAGTTGCATATAAAAAGTAGACATCACCCGATCCCCCCGAAACGCCATATCCGATTATCGATCAGGCTGGAAAACCGAAGCCACTTCTGGCCGGTGCCGCCCGAGCCCAGTGCAGAGCAGAGCAGAGAGGTCCCTATCAAACCAACCTCTCCATGAGGTTCCGCCTAACCTTTGTGTTCACAACGCCGCCGACGCCAAAAGCGGGCACGATACGGCCTATCCTCGCAGCGACGCTGATGGCCCAGTTCTTGCGGACGGCGGCCCACCTCTCGTTCCAGGGCACGACGGCGCCGCTGCCCGGTCTGTTGTACAGATCGAGGCCGAGCAGGTGGAGAGGGGTGCTGATGGCCTGCACGGCGGCCGGCGCCATGAACTGGGCGACGGTCATGCCGTCGACCTTGCGTCTCAGCTCGGCGCCCATGCGCTCGTTGATCCAGGGCCCCAGCAACGGCGGCACGTTGAAGCTCGCAAAGATGGTGATGCAGTCGCGCACGGCGAACAGGGCGTAGGAGGCTGGAGTGACGGGCCGCGGGACGACGCCGGGGGGGCCAAACATGCGCACGAAGACCTGGTCCTTGTAGATGCAGACGCCAATGTTGGCGGCCGAGGAGGCGGCAAACTTGGCCGTGCCAGCCGTCACGGTGGTGGCGGGCTTGTTCGCGACGGTCGAGGAGACGGTGTCGAGCGTGTTGGCGGTCAGGTAGGTGCTTCCGTAGACGAGGAAGATGAGCGCGGCGGGTTTGGAGAAGAGGAGGGCGTGGGGTCGGAGCAGCAGCGTGCGGAAGGAGGATTTGATCGAGTCGCCCAGCGTCTTGGAGCCTGATGCATTTTCCATGATGGAGCTATGGCCATGTTAGTCGCGGCACTTCTCAGGGCTCTTGTGGTCTCTTTTTTTTTTCCCCCCGGGCACGAAAGACAACGCATTGCGAGAGGACGCACCGGTCAATGATGGATATCACAGGGGCAACCAAGGCCGCGGCGCTGGCGGCCGCCAGCAGGTCAGAGCCGAGGCGCAGTCCCAAGTTTTGTGTGTTCCATATCCTTTCTCGTTCTATACGTGCCGGCAGCGCGCCGAGAACGTCAATCTTTTTATCGGGCGCCATGACGGCGACGGCCAGCGGACTGGACGGTTGCAGCGCGAGTGGTGATTCTGCCGAGCCCAGCGTTCGGCAGGCTGTGCTGTTGTCGTTCATCGCTTTCTGAGAGCCGGGATGTCTGGTCTAGTTCGCCGGTTCGGCGAAGCAGCCTGGTTGTCCGAAAAGCGAGCCAGTTTGGCGACTTGAGTTGGGATACGTTCTACTTGCGCTAACCGTCGATTCGTGGCAGAGCGCAAAAGGTCGGGCGAAAAGCTGCACTTTCTCTCGAGGTTGTCGGTGACTCCCTACAGGTTGACGATGACTGGAAAAAGGACGGAACGGGACAAGGACCAGGCGAGACAAGAGTACCAGACAGAAGAAGGCTGGCTGCTGCTGCTGCTGCTGCTGATTGACCCTGGACCAGCACTGAACCCGAAGCTCAAGGCGACCCGACCCGGTTTCCAGCCAGCGAGATGACGAGTGGGCTTCGGGCTGTCAACCAGCGAATGACGACGGCGAATTTCTGGCTTACGGGCTTTCGCGGTACGCCCTGCAGTGCGTGCGCCCGACATCGGAGATAAAATGGCATGGAATGGCCTGATGATGGAGACGGTTACTCGCGGACGAACAGGGGTTTGGCACAAGCAAGTCGGGGAGGGAAGCTTGGGCGTCGCCCGCTTGGCGCCGAGGACTCACAGCACTCGCGACAGCTCCCCAACATGTCCCAATGGCCCCCACTGAGTGCCGGCAGCCGACGGGACGGGCCCCCACGCTGGGGGAAGCTCGGTGGACGGTGGACGGTGGACCGTTGACCGAGGAGGAACATGCCTTCCTGAGCTTCTCCTGCCTCACGTTGAAGGCAGATTCTTGTGCTTTCCCTGATGTAGGTACGTACAGCTGTTAATTTTGGTCTTTTGGTAAGAGACACGAGCTCGGTTGCAGCTTCTCCATCTGTCTACTATCGCCATGTAGAAGCTGTGCTGAGAACGATCCTGCCACTGCCAACATTGACACCACGAGTCTCCGTGGCATCTCTAGCCAACGCGCATCCTACCTTCCTTCTTACTCGATACTGAGTCTCATCTTGACACTCAACTTGTCCCATCTCTTCCACATCAAACCCATCTGAGCGCGATCTTGTCTCTCTTCTTCCGCCAAGTCTGGTATCGATCCGCGCCGACGTGGCACTGGTGACGAGTCCTCACCTGAGTACACAAATCCAACCCGACTACACGTGCATCGTGACGACGGGCGCGATCCCGAATCCTTTTCTTCCAGCAACAGCCCACATGGCCCTCCCAGCTGCTCTGCAACCATGAGAAAGAGCACCTGCCTGTCCCTGTAGGGCCTCAAGTCGTCCCTCGACGTCTCCCTCGTCATCACATCCCACGCCACGAGAAATGGACCTGGCGAGGGCGCTGGTTGTGAGAACCCTGGCAAGGACCCCGTGTAGGTGGACGTGGGCGTCCAACCGTCTGGCACAAACCACGTCTTATTCTGTTCAGCAACTCCAGCGAGCTTGCCTCGCAAGACCTGGCCCGTCACCTTCAGCGACGACCCCATGAGCGGATCGCTAAACCTGTCCTCCCCATTGGAGCGCACGGCAACCCTATATACTTGAAAGCTTTCTGAAAGCCGCCGCCTGCCGCGGTCGTGTCGACTGGACCGCCCGTAGGCTACAGCACCTGTGACGGAACCCCAAGACCAGCTCGCTGCCGGCCTCGATGAGAGTCGCGCGCTTGCCTTGATGGGTTGAACCGCCCACAGCAGGTCTTCGCCGAGTGACGAACGCCACAGGCCAGCGATGTACTGGTCTTCGGGTCTCAGTCGCCCGACAGCGGTTGCGAGCCCCGCCAGTGCGATGAGTCGGTCCTGGGGAAAGGTGAGAGCCAAGCGCGAGTACTCCTGCACAACCTCGACGCGCCACAAGTCGCGGAAGTACTCCTGGTCGTCGTCGTTGACAAGAAGCCCCTTGAGCAAGCTCTCGTACACGTAGGGTCTATGACTTGTTACCGAGCACTCACAAGTACAAATGGAACGGCACTCCCATGCCATCTCGAACTCGGAGAAGTGCAACGTGCGTGGCGAGAGTATGCGTTCCTGGAAGACCCAGCCCCGCGTCGACAGAATACTGCGAGGAGCTTCCGGTTCGTCAGCCCACGAGTACTCCGTCTCCTTTTGACTGCGCACGCCGGCGAGGCCATGGTATGGTAGCAGAAGCCCGAGCTTGCCGCGTTCCCGGACGCAGACAACACCCTCCACACCGTGTCCGGTAGCACCCGTAAAGGAATACGGGACCTCGGCATGTGGTTTAGTCTGCCGTGTAGACGCCGCGAGGAAGCCATCGGTGCTACACGAGGCGGCATCGGCCGAGATAGTGACGAGGGCGCTTTCATAGATTGTCGCCATGTGCGCCGCCTCGCTACGCCAATCGTCCTTATCGTCTTGTATGATACAGAGAGAGTCTATCCAGAGAAACCGAACACCCAACATCTTTGTGACGGCAATAGCATCGCGAAAGGTCGCAGGTAGCAGAGACGGCAGGGCTTTGAGATGAGCCGCAAGCGTGCCACGTGTGGTACGCACCGGCGTGCTCCCGCCCCAGCAGTGACTCAGTGCCACATAACGGTCCTTCTCGTTCGGTGACGGCAAGTACAGCTTGTTGTTCTCAACATCAATAACCCTCTTCGGAAGAGGTGTTGTTCTGCTAGCGAGGCATCCGGACTTGGTATGCTTGCCCGAACCAGCGGTGCAATCCCTCAACCAAGTGCGCGCCAGCTCGACGCAGCTGTCTGCGAGACCCTCAGTCGCGATGTGGTAGCCCTTGCCCACCGCCACCCACGGCGAACGTGCCTCGACATCTGAGCATTCGTCAGAAAAGATCAGCATCGTTGCTAGCGCAAAGAGCAAAGAGGAAAAAGGGGAGCACATTTACCCCAAGGCGTGTAATACTGCACCTCCACCCGGAGCACCTTGCCCTTGGACGGGCCGTCCCTCAGGCGAGGGGGCTCGTTGGTACCGTCGTACCACCCCGGACAGAGCGTGACGGAGAGCGGACCCATGGAGACGTCTGGCCCCCTCTCGTTGACCTGGAGCCACTGGTAGGCGTAAATGTCGAGGCCGACGACGGCGTAGGCGCCGTCCCAGAGCAGCCGGCAGGCGGGGCACTTGATGCGTCCCGTGGCCGCCAGCTCGTCCCGCAGGTCGCCAATCTTGACTTCGAGACGCCAAACGGCTTTTGTTTTGAGGAGACTGTGGCACCGAGCGCATCCGGGGCCATTGTTGTTGGGCAGAAATTTGATCACGGGCAGGGGCTCAAAGTCGTCCTCTTCATCGGTACTATATCGTGGCATGCGAAACCGGTCCATGGTGGAATGCGATGATCGGGGAGTAAAGAAGGAGAGGGGTGGGGGGTTCCCAGATGACAGTGGAGGGCTTCAGTATCGCATCGCGGGGGAGGACGGGGAATTGGGGAGGGCGTACATAAAAGTGTCGATCGATCCTGCGGCACAAAGTACAAAGTGGAGGCAGGCGTGTGAAGCAGGGCAGGCTTCCATCGAATTCCCGTCAGCTGAGGCTATCGTGCAGCTCAGCCCCCCGGAACAGTGCATTTCCTTCCCGCGTCTCAACATCTCTCTCACGCACAGCGAGTGGCCGATTGATGGATGGTAAAGTCAAGATGGCAAAGTTATTCAACAGCGCTACATTGCAATTGTCAAGGCTAGCTAGGCTGGATCTGTAGCAGGGAAAATGCAGACTACGGTAC